ACTAGACTGTGAGTACTTCTTCACAAGTCCATGGGCTCTGATATGATGCACCCACAAGTGCTGAGGGAGCTGCCATGGGCTCTGATATGATGCACCCAGAAGTGCTGAGGGAGCTGGAGAACACCACTGCAAGGCCACTCTCAATCATCTCTGAAAGGTCACGGAGATCAGGCGAGGTGCCTGAGGACTGAAAGAAAGCAAATGTTTCCAATGTCCCCAGTCTTCAAAAAGGGCAAAAAGGAGGACCCATGGAACTACAGGCTGGTCAGCCTCACCTCATTCCTGGTAAGGTGATGGAGCAGGTCATCCTGGACACCATTTCCAAGCATATGGAGGATAAGAAATTGATCAGGAGTAGTCTGCATGGATTCACAGATTCACAAAGGGGAAATCTTGCTTAAGCAACCTGACAGCCTCCTATGATGGAATGACTGGCTTGGTGGATGAGGAGAGAGCAGTGGATATTGTCCACCTTGATTTCAGTAAAGCTTCTGACACTGTTCTGCTGGACAACAAGTTGACCATGAACCAGCAGCGTGCCCTTGTGGCAAAGAAGGCCAATGGGATCCTGGGTTGCATTAGGAAAAGCATTGCCAGCAGATCAAGGGAGGTGATCCTTCCCCTCTACTCAACACTGGTGAGGCCACACCTGGAGTACCGTGTCCAGTTCTGGTCTCCCCAGTACGAGAGAGACATGGAGCTACTGGAGCATCTTTTGTATGATGAAAGGCTGAGAGAGCTGGGCCTGTTCAGCCTGGAAAAGTGAATACTGAGGGGGGATGTAATCAATGTGTATAAATATCTGAAGGGAGGGTGTCAAGAGGATGGGCCAGACTTCTAATACAAGGAGTATTGAAAGGCAAAAGCCCTGCCTCTGCTGCAAAATAGGAGTCCTAGCAAAGCAAGGCATCAGCCCTAGGAAGCACAGAGGCTGGCGAGGCAGGAATAAATAAAGGTACTGAGGAAAGGAGGAGAGAATGGGAGAGACCCCACCAAACTGACAGGTGACAGACAGCACCGGTGGGAGTGCCAGGCTATTAGGCCATGGGCTAGGCCATGAGGGCAAATCTGGGGCAGCTTTCCCATTTCCTCTGGATATTGCCCAGCTTTCCTGCTGGGCGAATCTGGGGAAAACCATTTCTCAGCTCTGGGCCTCTGTCAGGCCTCAGGCTATTCAGTGTCAGCTCAGGGCAGCGCTTCTCTCCTGGGGTGTCCCTTCAGCCCCTGGCACCCTGCATCCCCACGGGCACCCTGGCTCTCTCAGGACAGGGGCTGGAAAGCCCCCGACACCTTGCACATCCCCCATTCGTGTAACTGAGCTTCTCAGGACATGCCCACACATCGCACTGCTGCTGTCCTGCCTCTGGCATGAAGCTTTAAAGCAACACAGGGCGGCAAGACCTGCTCTTTGACTCATTCAGCACTTTGTAAGAAGACCAGCTGCCAGCTCCGCAGCTCCTGAAGGCTGAGAACATCCCTACAATCGACGTGCGCCCTCTTCCTAGTCCCTGCATGGTTGCAGGGCACCTCTCGTAGAAGGAATACTTTGTGCCCCTGCACTACTGTCAGAGAAGCAGCTTTCCACATCACTGCGAAAGGAAGGAGCTGTTTACTGCTTGGGGTTGCTCCATCAGCCTGCCCACCCTGCCTCCAGCACTGTGAGCCCTGCTCTGCACCTTGGGGTCTCTGCCCGTTCTCTGCCACGCACCTGCCCAAAGGCTCCACGGCTCCCCGTTACCCAAGTATTTCCGCAGAGAGCTCCCTTGAAGCTGTGCCCCGTGGCGCTGAAGCCTCGTGGAGGCCAGTCTGGGACATGGCTGTGCCCCCAGGACCCTGTTGCCCCGGAGAGAGCCAGGCATGCGGGGGGGGCGGCATGGGCTGCTGCGAGCCCCACAGGGGTTGCTCCGAGCCCGCAACAAAAGCCGTATTTGCTGGAACCGTGCCTCAAGGCCTTCGGAGACTTCG